AATTGTAAATGAGAATTGTCAATTGTAATTGCGAATGTGTCAATTGGGAGATTCTGTAACCAGTTATCGACAATTTTCGAATCGCTATTGCGTTTTTTGATGCAAAAACATTTATATCATGCGTCAAAAAGTGCGATAGCGATCCGAAACTTGTCGCTAACTGGTTACACAATCTCCCTCCCGAAGTACAAAATATCGTAAAGAAGTACATTTGACTGTACTTCGAAGTATGAAGTACAAGAGCGAAAAAAGAAGTACTGTACTTCCGAAAGAAGTACGGTTGGTCACATTAGAAATATCCATCTAAACTAGCATAATCACAAGGGGCCTCGTTTAGACAAATTATGCACGTCGAATGCACCCGGTGATATGCCTTCATTACAAGATATTGTACACAGTTCCGTGTCGTATGAACGCACAATAATTATTGGTTGAATCATAAGGTCTGATTATGCATACTTCGCATAACTTCGCACAACTTCTTAAATGTAACACAACTTTACAAAACTTAAGGCTGATTATGCTTCGCATGCAACCAAATGTATCAATACTACCAACCTTATGCATCGACGCAATAGGATTATTCACGGTGTCTAAACAAAAACAGCTAATTGTTGGTTTCTTTAGGTAAATAGATTCGTTTACAGAAAAATGCATTTAAGTGGTTTTAATGGGGTATATTTGTAGTCCAAATTAAGTCGAGACTAAAGTTCTCCCCAGTTTGACATAATTTTCAATACAATATGTGTCAAAATATGTAAATAAAATACGTATGTTTTTTTTTTTAATTCGTAATTAACTACATATATCAAACAATATATTTATTAGAAAGAGCATAAAAATACCTTTCATTTGATATATAATTTTATATAGTTAGGTTTAAGCACAACTGCCAACAGCGAATTGATATTTTAATATAAAATGAAAATTTTGAACAAAAAAATAGCGCGCTATTTTCTTCCAAATGTTCGCCTGTAGAGCTTTTTTTTCTTTTAACATATAAAATCACATTTTAATATTTAGTGATATTACCAAAGAGTTTTTTATTATTAATCATATATTTCTTATTTTGTCTATATCTTTTAATAGGCATGTTTTATTCAACCATCTCAATCAAATAGCTAAATCTTAGTCACATAAAACGAAATCAGCTTATTTCCTATGTTAGCCTCATTTTGACAGTTCTTTGACTGCAAGTAGTGTCAAAGTAAATTTTTGCCTCTTTCTGATTGGTTGAAGGAGAAAATTTCTGATGCTGAATGGCAATGCCCCTTGTTCAATATACAAGCCAAGATAGCTTTTCATAAGCCAATATAATAATGTTGGGTAAGTCCTCCATACAAAATAAGCTAATAGCTTAAATTTCTGGACAAATAAAACACGGCTAATATAGTTTATTACGCATTTTTTTAAGAAAAATTTTTAATAAAATAATTTTTATTTTAATATTTAACTATTTTTTTTTAATTACCTTTCCAACCATATCCATACTTTGAAAATTGGTTCAAAACTTTTCAAAATATAAGCTTTTGAAAATATTGAAAATTCTACGTTTACCCTCCTCCTATAAATTTGCACAAAAAAAAATGTATTCCATTAAAATCATGGCCGGCCATGCTCACTTTTTCCTTTTTTAGTTCAACGGGCCCTATTCTTTACTTGTTCCCAAATTTACATTAATAGAGTCGTGAATCCCCATGCATCTCTGTAAAAAATATTGCTATTGGTGCCACTGCAATTGAATTGTCACTTAAGAAAACGTGAGGCAAAATCTACTTAAACTCAACAGATCGCTAATTTTTTACAAGTTCTGCTAAATTCTGAGTAATGAAATATATACAAAATGCATTTAAGAGATTTTCACGGGACAGTTTGAAATTTATGCGAAGTATGCATAATCAGACCATTATTCGCTTAGAAGGCCTCTGCGTCCAATCTGCCTAAATAAGCATTTATCTATCCCAGGACGACATTAGTAGTGATTTTTATTTTAGCTTCTAAGTAAACAATTTGCGAAGTAATGGCTGTCAACAGCAGAGTGTCCAGATTTGGCGATTTCGCGCCAATTTGGCTATTTTTTTTTGTGATATTTGCGCGTAAAAATATAGGAAATCGCCATTTGCTATTTTTTTCCTTCAAATAAATTTTTTCCAATTATAAAAATATACAATACTTACGTACATATTAAAAGACTAAAGACTGCCAAAAATGTTTAACCACCTTAATCGAAGAACTTTTGAAAGGATTACCTAGTCAATTAAATACTTCTAAACAAGCTTTGATATTGTCACCAGAAAAGTATGTGAATCACAAGAAGGCGAGTTTCAGGGACCTGCCAATTCACTATTTGACTTTATAGAAAAGAAAAGCAGCGGAAACTGAATATTTAAATCTTTTAACTTTCCCATGGAATAACTTTTCTCAGAACCATTCCATCCGACTCTGAAGATTTTGGATACTTGCTTGCGGAGTGAAACCCGCAACAGGCAATAAAATGTTTGGAAATATAAGTAAATTCATATTAGTATCCTTGCCTTGCATGCTTTGTTGAGCGCGTTTTCTCCGTAAACAATTTGGACACCCTGGTCAACAGTGACCCTCCCAATAAGCTTTGACTCTTTGGATGCAGCCTTGACTTCTCCTGGCTCACCGCTAGACCAATCTCTTTATGTATTTTGATTTGGTGCTAGGGCCAACAATAACAATTTCACTGGCTAAAAGTATTCTTACACAATATGTATTTGCATGTGTAGATCCCACTTTTTACATATGGAAATGCCAACATATCGTGTAAATGCAAATTCGATTTGTTTCTATACAAAACAGATGCACGTACATACGAAATATAAACGTTCTATTTTCACCTGGCATGCAGGTAGAATCATCTGTGTTTGGTTTATTTCGTTTTCAGAGAACGTAATTTTAAATAGTTGATTAAATACTGTGAATTTGACAGACAGTTGGAATTACATATGTATATATCGAAACAGTCACATTTACAGATGGAAATACATATCGTGTAAGAACACTTTAACACCTTATGCATCCTAAACAGCTTATGGGATCCTCAGTAGCAGAATCGGCATTTTTGAGTGCCTGAAGCAATTAGGCAGCGACTGTCGCACAATAATGATCCACTTTGTTTAACCTCGAAAGCTTCATCAAGTTGCATATTAGTATGCATATTAGTTTAATTT